CCGCCAATGCGCCGCAACATCTTGGAAGGGTTGTGCTCGAGAGTGCCGCGCCTGGTGAGCTTCGCTGGCATGGACTGCGCGCCCTCGTGCGCAGCCGGGCCCAAGCGTGATGTCGCGAGAACGGCGCGCGCGCGCCGCGGCCTCCGGGGCGGCTGCGCAGGAGGCGCGCGCGCCCCGTGACTTACATCTGGCTGTACGAGCAACTGGTGAATGACACCGCGTGGCGGTTGCTCTCCCAGCACTCCGCGGAAACAAAGAAATCGCAGGCGGGTTCAGCCTCCGACGCGTTGGCTCCCTGCGGCACACTGGCCTGGTCGAGGAGTGCACTATCGCGATTACGGGGGTTCTCAGAAAGACACTGACACTGAACCGACGGCTGCACGTCAGACACATCACTTCTCTGCTCCTGTCCAAGACCATGACTCACGGAACAACTGTTTCCCTGCGCAACATTAGCAACGTGCGGACCGCCAAAGACCGTCTCATCGGCCCAGGGGTCCTCCTCGTCTGACTCGAATTGACCACTAGGGCCCTGATCATCCTCAGACGGAGGGGCGGTGGTCTCCCTCTCATATGATGCCTTGGCTTCTGGAAACATGATGTCACCGAACATGGCTCCGAAGAACTGCTGCCGTTTCTCTCGGGCTGTAGCCATCTGCATGGCTCTCTCAGAACTGGTCCTAGAGGTCTTCGACCCCTTCTGCGGCAGCGCTCTCGGTCTGGGAGTCTGGGGGAGGCGGCCTGGCGCATCGAGGCGTCGAGTGAGAAGCTGCTTCCCAGAACTCTGAGTCGTGACAACGATCCCCAGATGCGGTCGCCACGGCACAGACAGAACTGCCTGACATCCCAATACGAATGGCACTGCCGCCTCACTCATGACACAGCAATCCAGCAGCGAGCCTCCACGCTGATCGCAAGTGTGCGACACTGGAGGAAGGAGCACTCTGCCATGTACACGTCCAAGAAATCCAGAATCATGCAAAGCCTGTGGCGGCATATTCCAGTCTCCCAATGCCAGCCATGGTAGCTGCAAGGACGCCAGTCACGCCCCTATACGTTGAAACCGTGCTAAACTCTGTCCTGACATTCCCATCGAACAATGCCCATAATTACAGAATCACGAGCACGAAGGAGAACCCTGCGCAGTGGATGGTGGCAGCAACGAACCCGTCCTTCGCCTGGCTCCCTGGAGCCCGCAGTTCGGGGACGTCCGCCTCCACCAGTGAAGCCACCTGCAGGTGCGACCGAGCGAAGCTGACCTCCCCGCCCTCGTTCGCCTTCTCCTCCTTTGATGAGGTTATGTGCCGACCAGTCGCCCTGGCCGAATTGAACATCCTACGCATGCCCTGGGTTCTCGCCTGCTTGTCCCACTTGCGCTGCACGGACTCGCCAAGATGAGTCTCCACGCACCCCATGAAAGCATGCTGCGAACAATGCTGCGTAAGATACGTCCAAGCCTGATCCCCCATGGCCGTGACGTTGGCAAAGAAGATGGATGATTGTTGGCCCCCTCCAGCATCATCCTGCGAAACCGTACTGCTATCGCACAAAATTGGCGCCTGGCCACGAGCTGCCTGCATATCGTTCTCGCCGCCAGGCGCTGACCATCAAGCCTGCGCAGCCTCGGGCGCCGCCGCCTGCACGGGCGAGCCCTCCTGCGACTTGGCCCTCTCAGCCGCCGCCGCCGCCGCGTGCTTGGCCGCGGTGAGCTTGGCCGCCTCCTCCTGCACCTTCGCCTGCATCGCCGCCTCGGGGGTCATCCCCACCCCGCCGTTGGCGAGCCGCCTGCTGCCTGGGCAGGCGCCTGGCCAGGCGCGGCACTCGCAGCGGGCCCGCTGGCGGCAGCGGCAGCTGCACGTGGAGCTTCCGCCTCCGCGGGGCTCGCACTCCCCTCTGGCACGGGAACGTCCTCGCCGCCCAGCTCCACCGTGCGGCGCTTCCTCGCCAGGCGGCTGCGGATGGCTTCGCGCATCTGAGCAGCCCGCTGGAGCCATCCCTGCACTTCTGCCTTGCGGTTGGTGAGCCCGCGCTGCAGCTCGTGCAAGTCCGAATGAATCTTCTTGAGCTGCGACTTCTCTCCTTCCTCGCACTCTAGGTTGTCGATGTCAGCGAATAGCTCCTCATCCCAACGGACCTCGAAGAGCTTGTTCGCCCTCGTCTCGCCGACTGCGACGCCCTCTGCCCTCGCGAGGACCTCCACAGCGCCGCGCTGCGTCAGCTCCGCCGCGGCCAGCACCAGCGCCGCCTGGGCCTCCTTGGCCGCGGCCTTCGCCAGGGCGGCCTGCAGGCGCCGCACGTTGGCGATGGCCTGGTCGTGCTCATGATTGGCGTCCCGATGCGCAGCATCAGCCTTCTGCGAGGCGAGAGCCACCGAGGGAGCAGCCGATGGCTTCGCAGCGGCCGCCTCCTGCAGCGAAGCAACGCGCATCTGCAAGAAACGCTTGAGCTCCTCATCCTTAGTCTCCTGCATGGCCTCACGCAGGTGGTCCACGACCTTATCCGTCTCGCTCATTTTGGCCCAGGGGGGCTTCCTGCCTGGGGCTGGAGATGCGCCACGACTCGACGGGGTCTCGCCCTCCTTTCCTTCCAGGGAGTCTGAGAAGGTGACTCGACGCGGACTCTTCCCCCTTTGATCCTTGGGAACGAACACCTTGACCTAGGCCCCGCACGGATCAGCAGATCATTGTACTCACATGTCTGACATGCTTGACAACGACTCCACAAGCGGGATGCGGACATCCCTCGCGATGACATCTGAAATCTGAAATCTCCTGCTTTGGTCGACAACCCTGGGGATGAGCAGCCCAGGGCCGAAGTGCCTCCAGCGCCACGGGCAGGCACAGGAGACCTGGCGGGAGGTACCGAATCGGAGTGACCCAACACCCTCCTCAAGCCAGGATGGCTTGAGAGGAGGAGGAGGAGGAGGAGGAGGAGGAGGAGGAGGAACAGGAGGAGGAGGAGGAACAGGAGGAGGAACAGGAGGAGGAACAGGAGGAGGAGGAGGAGGAGGAGGAACGCCACAGGTTTTCACCGCAGGTTTGCTTAACGCAAAAAAGGAGGAGGTGGAAGGGAGGGAGGGTGGGAGGGAGGAGGGGGATGAGGGAGGAAAGGGGAGGAAAGGGGGAGGAAGAGGAGGAGGAGGAGGAGGAGGGAGGAGGAGGAAGGAGGAGGAGGAGGAGGAGGAGGAAGAGGAAGAGGAGGAGGACGGGCAGCGGGCGGAGGAGGAGGAGGAGGGGGAGGAGGAGGAGGAGGAAGAGGAGGAGGAGGAGGAGAGTGGAAATGGGAGGGACACCGAGGTTAGTGATTTTTGTTTTGGCCCTTTCTGGGCCCCTGGAGGCCCTGGGAGCCTCCGGAGGCAGGCGCGAGCGACGCGAGGACCTCGCCAAAAGAACGAAAAGCACCGAATGACGAGGCATCTGGGCCTCCGTCCTTCTTTTGCCACTGCTGGACCAGCTGGTGGAATCCGGCGGATAACAAAAACATGCGACAAATCCGAAGCCTCCTCCTGCTGGTCAGGCCCAGTGGTCTCCTCCACTGGGGTGTGCATGGCTCGCGTGCGCCCAGACGCGGAATACACGGACCACTTTGGGCTGAGGGGCGCCTTCGGTTTTCGAACCGTTTTTCGTTTCCAGATCGGAAAACCTGTTCGTTGCCAAGGTTCGCCGTGGCCAGAAAAGCCCCTTCATTCTTTATTCAGCGTTCCCAAAAAGTAGCGCGATGGTTGTACCATCCCGCGTTTCCCATTTCCTCTCGGTCTCCTGGTGGTGTCGGCCTGCGGTCGGGGTGCAAAGAGGTCTTCCCCGATGAGTTGCACAACCTGCTCTTGTCTTTCGACCGCTGGCCCCTCCTGCAGCAATTGTCTTTCCTCTCCGTCCTTCTTGGTATCTGAACAGATTGGAGGCTGGATTGTGGCCAAAGTTTTTTAGCAAAGCTGACCAGCAAAGTCGTTTTTCTGTGTTTGCATGTCGGCCACTACGCGGGATGGCTCGGTACTCGATGCTCCTCTTCCGCCTCCTACGGCAGATTTCACGCACCAGAACACCAATGACTTTTGGAGATTTTGCAGTGGCTGCTGCATGCTAGTGCGCTTGCGTTGACAACGATACGCGAGTGTCACATGCCAGAGCAGCCGCCCGCGAGGGCGAGGCCATTTCGCATACCTCGCCCAAGGGGTTGTGCGGAGCCAGCTCCCGCTTCCAGAGGGTCTACGCATGCTTCGCTTCATTAAATATCGAACCGCGACACATGTTTTAGTCTCGTTTCGGGCTGCAGGACCCTCACGGATCGATCGGGCTGAACCCATCAGGCATGAGGACGGGGTCGATGGTTCCAATGGTGATCATTTAGCTGAGTTGCGGGTTTTCACGACGTCGGATCTCCGAGAAGTCAGGCACGCTTAGGGTAAGGATATTTCGCTCCAGAGCGTTACAGAACTCAAAAACGACAGCGGCGCCCGATACAACCTCCACATTCGCCAGCCCCTAACGATTCCCGATCAATCCTTTTCCAGATTTATCATTCTCAGACTGCCTCCATCTCAGAGGGGCATTTCGTATCGAGAGGTCTGCCCTCGGCTCCTGCCCCAACGGCTTCTCCGCCAGGCTGTGCAGCCGACGTCGTGGGCCGTAGGGGGTGAGCGCCGGAGACCGGACGTGCTCAGACTATTGAGTGACAAGGAGCAGGGCAGAGGCGTGCATGCAAGAAGACAGGTCAGTGGCTCCGTCCGTCTGTCCAATGCCGTACTTTATGTTTTGCGCGCGCGGAGTCTCCCGGCCATGGCCACGTGCCACTGGCCTGTCGGCGAGATCATCTAGATTAGAGGTGCCTCCCTTCCACAGGACTTTGTCACAGGGCCGAGCCGCACTTCTGATGCTGAGCTGCGGTGCCAGCGGGGCGGTGGGGGAGGTGGCGAAGGCGGAGGCTGAAGATGCGGAGAAGGCGGAAGAGGCGGAGGAAGAGGCGGGGGGGGGGGGGCGAGAACGCCTGACTTCCAAGGGGAGGTCGAGCACGTCAACGAGACCGAAGTGCTTGAGGACGGCTACTGCAAAATGGCGCCCGTCGACTGCAAGGCTGGGCAGGGTCGCTGTCGGTGAAGGAATCCAGAGGGACGGCCGCAAGAGGAGGGAGGACGGAGGGTGAGGAGGAGGGGGAGGTGTAGGAGAGGGAGGAGAGGGAGGAGATGGGATGATGGTGGTGTTGTTGATGATGTTTATGATGAGGATGCGGATGCGGATGCGGATGCGGATGCGGATGCTGCTAATGATGATGATTATGATGATGATGATGATGATGGTGATGATGAGAATGCTGCGGCTGATGGTGACTAGGATGATGACGGTGATGATCATTATCATGACCATGATGATGATGCTGATGATGGTGATGATGATGATGCTGATGATGATGATGAGTATGAAGAAGATGGTGATGATGATGATGATGCTGATGATGATGATGACGATGATGATGATGATGATGGTGGTGGTGGTGGTGGTGATGCTGCTGTTGATGATGCCGATGATGATGTTGATGATGGTGATGATGCTGATGACCAGAAGGTTATGATGGCGATGATGATGCGGATGATGCTGATGCTGATGATAATAATAATAGGAATAATAATAATAATGATGATGATGATGACGATGACGATGACGATGATGCTGATGCTGATGATGATGATGATGATGATGATGATGATGATGATGAGGATGATGATGCGGATGATGATGAGGAGGAGGAGGAGGAGCAGGAGGAGGATGACAGCCGCGTGCCCGAAGGATCCGGGCGGCACGCAGCGCAGTGTCCCGCCCGCAGGAGGCGCGGGCGTATCCGAACCAGATCACATACTCCCACATACCATGTCCACTCACCTCTTACATGTCTCTTTCTTTTTCATCTCCAAGGTGCCAGGACAACTACTACTTCCTCACCGGCAGGCAACACCACCACGATTTCCACCTGGGAACCAGCGTGGCACCTACTCAAAGTCGCAGCTGCGCGACAACTACTCGAAGCACACCGCAGTGCTCAGCAACCACCGCGGCATCCACCACAAACTCTAACAATGGCAGCACCGTGGCAGTCAACACCGAGCCGTACACTGAGCAGGGGCCCACCTACGCGGTCCACTACACCAGCGATCGGCGCAGGAATGGACAGGTGGAGGAACGACCACTTGATGGCGCAATGGGCAGCACGACGCCCCAACGCCTGCAGGAACAAGGGCACCAACGGCAAGGGCAGGGGCACCAACGGCAAGGGCAGTTTCCCCAACTTGCGCGACCACCACATCGAGGACAACGGCATTCCGCAGAAAAGGCAAACAGAAAGACAAGAAGGGCAAGAGGAAACAACAACCTCAAAGTGAAAAGGGCGCCCCTTACCAAGAAAAAACAACGCGAGGCCAACCAGGACTACAATGTTCATTCGCGTTGCCCAGACCATCAAAAACGTAATGCCCATGCGCAAAGTCCACGCTGCCAGAGGCCCGATTGGAAGGCACCACCAAACGACCACGAGCTCCAAGTGGATTGGAATAGTGCCTATGTCGCAGAACAGCGGGAGGCAGCCGCGTCCATCGTCAGGAACAGCGTTGCTGGGCTCCAGACTATCGACGCCGAGACCCGCATCGCCTGCGTCAAGGCCATGATTATCAGCAGCATGCTGCTTCTTCAAGAACCCAAGGAAATCGAACGCACCGCGGAGGTCATGGAGGACCGCTTCAAGTGCACCAAGGAACACCACAAGGAGGTGGAGGTCTACCCGTAACGCTGGAGGGGATAATCGCTGTCTCGCGCCATCCGGAGGGACATCAATTACGCCAGGGACGACGCCTACAACGACAGGAGCTGCCGATGACGAGGAACAACGACACAAGAGACGCCGATGACGAGGTGGAGCCATCCCGCAGGGAAGGCCAACCGAGGAGGAGGTCCGCAACGCCGGCTCGTAGGAGGCAGACAGGGGCCAGAGAGTCGACAGAGGGGCAGGACATCGGCGCACTCCTGAAGGCATTGAAGGAGGACAACCAACGCCTTGCCCACGACGTCAACAAGAACAACCAGAAGAAGGCCAAGGAAAAGTTCGACGACCACAACAAGACCAATGCCGCAATGGAAGAATCTGCAGCCGCGCCTACTTCCAACAGGGAGCCACCGACGTCGAGAGGCAGGTGCGAGCCAGAGACGCCGAACAAGCACAGCATCATGAACACCAACAGCATGGCAACCACAGGGGTAAGCGAGCACTGGGAGCAGGCACAACAACATGCATCTCAATCAGAAGGCCAGCTCCAATCTATCTCACAGCGAGCGGAGGTCGGCTCCCACCAGCCGGGCGAGGCTCATCGGCACGGGATCGACATGCGCGAGCAGTGGGAGGCAACCTCGAGGGAAGGGAATGCGAAATAACAGCCGCAAGAAGCGCACCGAGGAAGCCCAACAGGAGTACGTCTACGCCCAGCAGGCCGCTGCTCGGTTGCGTGGCCAGCTCGACAAGGCGCTATCCGCCGAAATCCCAGGCGACAGCGAAGCGATCGTGACCTTCGCGCGGCCAGCGGATCCAATGCCCACACATGGCGCACCTCAAGGTGCCGCGCGACCTCCTTTGACGCAAAGTGACGAGGCAGGCGGAGAGGCCGACGACAGGGCAACAATTGTGGCAACCCTGACGCAACGCGACCAGCAGGCGCGTATAATTACCAACAGTCAACAGCATAAACACAGGCAGCACCACCTCCATCCGAGAGCCCCGAAGCGCAGCGCGCACCCACGGGGCCATGACCGCAGGGATGAAGATGTCGACCCACCACCTGGAAGCCAGGAATGCGACGCGACGCAGCCAGCCGCGCCCATTGCATGCGCGCCGAGATCAATGCCGCCAGATCCTCGGCGCGCCATCGCCGCCGAGGAAAGAGGGCGACGACCTGGCGGCCGCCGAGGAGGTGCCCCGCAGGCGCCATCCCTTCGTAGAACCTTCATTGGCGCGCCAGGGAGGGGCACCTCTGCCGCCAGAACGTAAAGTACGCAGCGCCAACCGCGAGAAGCTCGAGCGCCAGGAGGGCGAGGAGAGCCGCCATCGACCCCGGCGCGCCGATGCAGATCGCCCCGCGCCCCCCGGGCGCGCCATCCAGCGGCGACGCGGCACGTTCCGCCGGGCATGGCAGACACGCCGCAGCGCAAGACAGCGCGAAGCTGAAGCTGCAGCTGGGGAATCCCGGTGCACCGCGCGACGAAGGCGCGTGCCCAGACCGGCCCGCCCCGCCGAAAGCGGCGCGCAACCCTCGCACCTTTCGCCCGACACAACCAAGCGGCCCAATGAAAGTAGAGGCGCCCAACGGCCCAACCGCCGCCTGCCATGGCGCCGCTCAGGCAGACTGCCCAGCCTAGCGGCGCCCCCCAACATTCAAGGCGGCAGCGACGGGGGCGACGCAGTGAACGCCCGGCGACGCGCGAGCCCACCATAGCCGCAGAGCCATCGAGCACCGACCACCCAGAAAGGGCACGGAGCTGGCGTCAAGAACAATCGGGGGCGCCCACCCGAACTCTAGGACAGCTTGACACCCATGCCGCGGGGGCGCTGAAGGGTCGCGGCTACGGCGCCGACAGCGCCCCCAGCTCCGCGCCGGGCACGTGCTCGGCCAGCGCCCCCCAGGCGGCAACTATCCAGGTACACATCGGACCAGACTACACCGCTAACCGACCCTGCCCCGCGCGAAAGGGGGCCCAGCAGGAGAGCCGCCGCGCGACCAAGCCGACTCGACGAGGGACGCACGGGCCGTCGTCGCAGCAGAGGATGACCAAGGCAACCCAAACCTCAAGTGTTACATCTATGGGTGACTGTGGCAAAACCACGCCCACGATGTCAGATCAGGCAGTTGCCATGTGGGCCTTCGCTTGGACCTACGCGCGCAAGGGGGCGCGGCGCGCGCCGCAACGCTCCAGCAACGGTCCACGCTGGCCCCAAGGTAGCAGAAGGCTTCGCAGGAGGATGCTGAAGGGCGATGCACAGCGCGAGCTGTCAGCCATCGCCAAGCAACTGCGCGACCTCGCAGCCGCGTCAACACTCCTCCGCCCCGACCACGTCTACTCTAACGCAGGCCACCCGCATAATTATCTTGCAGATGCGGTCGCCCAACGGCAACGCAGATGCGACGACCCCAACTGGCTACCCGAATGGGCCGAAGCCTTCGACGCGCAGAGCCAGCGACAATGGCAGCGGCTGCGCCGAGCCGACGAGGAGACGAGGAAGCATGCCCTAAACTAACCTGACCACCATTGGACTGCATGCCATGGCGCCAGCCGCCTCAGTTGCCCCAGAGCACTTCCAACCGCCCAACGTCGGGAGCAGCAGGAAGATCGGCGTCGCCATCGCGATGGCCACCATCAGCGCGCGCAGCTCCAGGGAACCAGCCCGCGACGCCGGGGGGCAGCGCCGCGAGATCTCCAGGATCGAGGCAATCAATCGTCCGCGCATGGCCACGAAAACCCACCTGGTCTGCAATCAGGAAACCGGGCGGCCCAGGGGGGCAACGCCAACGCGCGGTTTCCACGCCATCTCGAGTGGGCACGACAACCGCAATTTCGGGCGCTCGCTGCTGATCAACGCAGACGCAGACATGCCATGCTCTGCGAGACTGGATGAAAATTCACTTACGCAAAGGGGGTTGACCGGGACCCGAAAGCACTCGCAGCGCGCATCGCGGCGCCAGGGTTCCGGAGGACGGCGGCGGTAGCACGTGCCGCGCTCGCCCGCTCGGGCGAGACGAAAACCGTCTTCTGGGCCAAGCTGCGCAGCGTGGCGCACGCGCCCCACATCGACCAACATAATCGAAGCCCGCGCAACCACAGGGGCGGCGACATCAGACTCCATTGGCGACGTTGGCAGGGGCTCGAGGATAATGACGCGGGCGACCGCTTCCACGAGTAGCTGAACATATGCAACATCGCAGCCGTCAACGCGGCCGCCGAGCGCAGCGGCCCCAGCTTCGCGCGCAAGAATGGCGGCCCGAAAGAGTGCATCGGCGACGTCGTGACACCCACGAACAACATCGATGCCGCCCAAGAGGCTCGGCGCGGTCGACGTGGTCCAGGACGACGAAGGCCACCTCCCAGTCGTAATCCACCAGAGGGGCGCGTCAATTTCTCACGCGAGAAAGTCGGCGTCGAGGCTCGACCGCAATTTTTTTGTTCGAATCCAGATGAACAGGCGACTTGCCAACAAAAGCTAGATGTTATCGAACTCGACGAACGGGGGCTGGACGTCGACGAGCACGTCTGCCATGCAGCTCAACCAAATTGCGAGATGGACCGCAGAAGCGGCATGCAAACCTAAATCCGCACGAATACGCAAACCTAATCACCGACAGCACATCCGCACTACTCCGCGCGCTGCTCGCATGCCAACGACCTTCTCGATCGCGACGTGCCGACGCACGCGCTGCAAAGACCAGAACACGATGGCGAAACTGGCATACCAACACGGAAGCAACCGCGCTCACAACGCCGGCAGCCCACGCCATGAGTGACTCAAGTACCCTGTTCAATTTGGTCAACACTGGGCTGCGAGTGGTTCATCACCAAGCAGATTGTGATGAATTGCACCTAGCCACCCTGGCATACCACGTGAGTCCAAGTACCACAGAGCCGGTTCCCTCAACAACTGCGCCGGTAACGTCAAAGGTGCCATCGAGGACCGCGGCGCCAAACAGGACAACATCTGAGAGTCAGTTGTTAACGTGTGAAGGAAGGCCACCCATGATGATCCGCGAGAACAAGCGCACCGTCGACGCCAACGGAGAGCCGATCACCAGCGAAGTGGCGCAAGCAGAAGCAGAGCTGGAACACGTCGCCATCGGTAATCTACTGCAGGAATGCGGCAGAGGTGGTTCGGGACCAGACGCACCGATATACCCTGATCAACAACGTCATCTTCGACGGCGAGGTCCAGGGCAACTTCCAGTTTGCCAAGCCAAACGGAGAATGAGGACCCGAACTCTTCACCGACGACATGCGCCGCACAGCCACCAAGCATATGGCCAGGGTCTACCACCCTTTGCTGGTCAGAGCCCAGATGACATCAGATGACAACGGCAGGACCATTGTCACGCAATGGCGGGTGGCAAACGTCATTCGCAAATAGCGCCACCGCACGTGAACATCTTGGCGACGGGCGCATGATCTCATTGAACAACATTACCGCACAGTACCACCACACATCCCTCAGGACCAAACGCAAGGACGTCGCAGCCACTCTTCGAGACGCACCATGCGGAGAGCATCCACGACGAAGCACCGATGTCGCAACGCACACCACTCGGACCTGCATCAGCATGCTCAAGATCGGCGGAGCAGCGGAGTGCTTCTATTTCTAGACTTGAAGGGCGCCTTCTACACCGTTGTCCTTGGGTTCCTCTACGCACTGAAGACGACGAGCACGACCTCAGGACCTTTGCGGCTCCGTGGGCAAGCCCGAGGCCGAGCCACTGATGCTGGCCGACACCGCGCAAGGAGCGCCCGACATCGACGACAGCATCGACGACGAGCACTTGCCCTATTACGGAACGCACATGCCGACCTCTGGGCCACAGGTCGGGGGCCCGAAAGAATAGTGCAGCCGAGAACCGGAACAAGGCCAGGGGCACCGATGTCCGATTTTTCTTTCAACGTGCAAGGCGATCGCGGAGGACATGGTCGAGAAGGGGGCGCGCTGCGAGGTGCCCCAGCACGCGACCAGCGACCGGCCTTCGCACGGGGGCGGCGACGCCGACTTGGGCAAGACGGGGGTGCCGCTCTCACGGAGGCCTCCTTCGTTGACGACCTCGCGGCGCACGCCGCAACGTCCCTGGACGCATCGACCGACGCTGCAGCCACCCCGCTACAGATCGTCGAATCGAGAGCCTGCGCCCGCGGCATGCGACTGATCGCCGAGAAGACGAAGAGGGCGCCCCTGCGGCCCCAAGTCGAGGACGACTAAGGAGCGATATGCTAAAGAAGGCACCGCCCACATCGGAAGCGCCTCTTCGGAACAGACAGTGGAGTTGGTCAACGCTCGGACCGGGTTGGGCACCGTAATTGTATATACTGGAACAGTGGGACCTGATGCCGAAAAGAGACGCAACAAGGCTATGATCACAAGGCCCCCCTACGCAACCAGATCTTTCAGAGGGCGAACGTACGCACTCACAACAAGGTCCTCTGCAACTCACTGGCGCTCTCGAACCTCTCCCACGAAGACTATTCATGGACCGACATAACCGACGGAGACGCGGAGACCTCCGCAGTGGTTCACATGAAAGCATGCAGGCGGGCCACCAGTCACCGCGCCATGCCCGACCAGGACAAGCATTCGTTCAACATCCAGGTCCTCGGCGACGCTAACCGACGAACTCCTGACATCTCAATGAGAATCAGGAGGCCGCGGCACTCGGCTGCTCATGCATTGGCCGACCATCCCATTCGGACTTCTCGACGAGGACTCCCGACGCAGCGCGGGCTGGGCCTCGAAGACCACCCGGGACATGCAATGGCTATGCGACCACCTCAGCCAGGGGGAAAGACCGACGACCAACGTGCACCTCCACGAGTCTGCGCGGGCATTCCGCGACGACCCCTTCCGCTTCTGCGCAACAGTCAAGAAGGTAAACGTCAGGTACTTCCGACGACAGCAAGGTCGAGCGCGCCAGGATTGATGGTACCACGAGTTCAAACCATGCCTGAATCGGAGGAGATGCTCGACGTGCCACCTATGCCGCCGCCACCGCCGATGCCCCAATTCATGCGCTACCGGCGCGGCACACAGTTCTTCAAGATGGACGCATACTACTCCCCCAGGATAAACGCCACAAGCGCGTAACCCACCTGCCCCGATCGGCGCGGGGAACGCGTGGCCGACCATGCGATCGCGCGTGCCACGCATGCGCCCGATCAGCTTAACATCTACAGGCGACGCCGTCGCTCGCGACGCCATGGGCGAAGGAGGCCCCGCAATTGCCTGACGAGACCACCGAGCAGAACAGAAAAACAATGCTGGGAACCCAAAGAGCAAGCATCAAAACAGGGAGGCCAGCCGACCATACCGACTTGGCGAGCTACTAAATAGACGTCCAATTAGACTGCGACAAAGACCACGATGTCACCCGCGATCGGATGCCGCCCATCGAGCTCCCACCCACCGATCCTGCCGCGCGAAGCCTTGCGAACCCCCGCCGACCCACGGGCGCGACTCGACCTGGGCAGCGGGCAGCGCCGAGGAGGGGATCTACACGAATGGATGATGCACCTCCAGCCGCCAGATAGCACGCCGACGTACGTCCTATCCATCGACGTCGCCAACCACGCTACCAGGTGCGACCTTGCCAATTTGGAGACACTTTGTTGCTGGATGCAAATGCACGAAGGCATTGCGGCAGCACCGTTTGCAGGACCACCTTGCGAGACGTGGGGCGCAGTCAGAACGAGGCACTTACCAGGCGCCCCAAGACAGTGGCGACCGCTACGAAGCCGAGAACAACCGTGGGGCCGAAGCTATTTGACGGGTGGCGAGAACGCCCAGATCGACATTGGCAACGAGCAACCGAGGACAACGGTACTTTCTTCTACGTTGCCTATGCAACTGGGGTGCCAGCGTTTCTGGAACACCCAGAGCCTGTCCACGGCAGACAGCCTGCTGCTGGCAGCTGGCTGCTACCCTGGATCCATCACCTACTGCGACGGCCAGGAGTACGGCTAGCATCCTATCTCGCGGAATCCAGCCAGCCGGCTTGCCGCAGGAACGCTTGGATTTACAGCGCGTAGTTTTTCGATGCCCATTACGGCGAGGTGCAACCGCGGACATGGAGCTGGCCCACCCCTCATCAGTTCGTAGCGAGGATGGAGCATCGCGAAACGTTGCGGCCAGGACGCGCCCAACCCACATGTGCCAGATGCTCGCAGCGACGATCAGCGAAGCGATCCGACAAGTCGGGCACAGGCGAGTGGAGCATCGACGACCAGCGCATCGCATTCCACGCCCCACGAACCGCAATGATGATTTTCAGAGGAACGCCGACTGCATGAGGCATCGGCAGTTTCTACCCCGATAGCAGCCGTGGCAACGGAGGGGTAACAGCGAGCCTGGCGTAACAGCCGGGGCATGTCCCCTAGCATGTGATATTGAACGACAGCTCGGGCTACATGGACTAAGGTTTCCGCGCGCCTGGCTTAGAAGGTAGGTACCCTACGAATACACGATGGAATCGACTGGAAGGTCATCGGATGACGCCAAATGGCGACATAACACACCAATCGAGACGACAGCTGAATGCCACGCATGCGGTGGAAGGGGCTGGCACTACTTGTTGCGGCAAACCGTCGCTCGGAGCATGTCCCCTGGTAAGTGCTACATCAACCACAACTTGAGCTGCGTTGACCAGGGGTTCTCGTGCACGTGACCTGAGAGATCGGCATGCCCCGTGCCAGATCGCCCACTATCGTTTCAGTACACAGAAGAACCGAGATGATTTCATCATCCCACATCATATCCTTCACCGCAGTCATCTCGCTCGAGGGATTGAGGCTGGTCCACGCATGCCAGACCAGATGAGACGCCTCGGCGCCCCCTTTGATTCGAACCACGATGGAGTCGCGACTGGGTCTCCGATGAGGGAGAGAGTTGGCCGACGCAGGCGGCCCACGCGAGGCCACCATCAACTACATGGGGTCTAATGCACTACCATAGATCAAGTTGCACGCCCCGCCGAGGTGAAGTTCACGCATGCGGCGAAATACACATTCGCACAGAACGCCAAACGCGCAGCATCACTCGAGAAGCGCGAAAGAGAGGGCATCGCGCCCAGCGCGCGAGCCGAGCCCCAGCAGCAGGACCAGGACCAATGGCCGATGGAAGAGGGGCGCGCGCACCAGCGCTTCCGATGCGCCCCGAAGCTTCTTAACGAGCCGCATTGCAGCTGGCGCCGACGACGCTGCAGGCCATTGGTCAGCGAGGCCAACCCACGTGTCCCGCACACCGATGCGGCGCAAGGTCACCCGCAACGACACAGACATGGACATCATAATCATGAGGGGGGGAGTGCCATGGGAGAGGGCCAAGGAGACGGCCGAGAACAATCTGATCTGCTTCGACCCACCGCAGACGGGCCCCAACGGACAGGAGTTGACCAACGTTCAGCATATTTAAAAAATATCCGGTCCGTACAGGTCTACAAGAAAGCGGGCTCGGGACGCCGAGCGGAGAGCAACCCGCTCCAAGACTTACGTCAGGAACGCGCCCGACAACGGGGATTTTATCCTGCACGCTTCCAACGAGTACGGCAACGTGGCAGAGTGTTGCGAAGCACTCCCGCTGCCGCCCTGCCGAGCCGACGAGCCGGTTACTCGTGGAACCAGGGCCTTATTCCCACGCGGGAACAACCCGATCTTCAGCACGCGAAACTTGCGCGTGATAGCGCAGGCGCGTGCAGGGCTACGTGCGCAAGATGGCGACCCCATCGGAAACCTCGCACCACCCGCGGAGGTGGGCGACGATGAGTTGGACCATGTCAGCAACTACTGCTGAGCCGAGCACAGGGCACCAATCAGAATCGCAGGAGAGTTCGACGCACGGTGCGAATTGAATTGGGACCACAGCCCCAACCACAACCCGCAATGATTACCGATCGGCAGCGCTGAGTTGCACTGACCCGCCGGTGTCGAGGTCGAACCAGATATCGACACTGCCACCGTCATTCCAGACGCGGGCGCCCCAATCGAGGTTCTACGGTGCGACGGCCCCAACTACGAGAAGCCGGACTGGGTCGAACCTGAAATCATCATCGCGCGCGGCTGCGCGCGAGTACAGACAGCCGGCACCCACGACCTCATGCCACACCTCGACGGCGACCTACGAAAAGCGGCTCGCGGTGCCCCCCCGGGAAAGAGGAAGGAGCATCGCAACAGCAGCAACGAAGACCACGAGGCACTACTGGAGCCCATGGGGTTCGCGCGGCACAAGAGGGCCAGCCAGATCATGCCATGGACGGTCGAAGGGGATCGATCACGCCCCCGCGGAGACCCAGCCCCGAGCCCCACGCGCCCCCAAACAGACGCCTCACCATCAACTCGGCGCCGCAACAGCAAGCCCACTACGATCCCCCGCCGCCGACATGTGCGCCGCCACCAGCGCGCCCGCCAGAGCGCCAGAGGTGGAACCCACATGAGATGGCATCGAGGCTGCGGGAGCTGAACATACGCCCAGACTCGCCAGTCGACCCGGCGCACCAGCTCATTTGTCCACGCACAAGGATCGTCTACCCCGAAGCAAACCCGAGGCACCTTTTCGTCAGGTCTATTATTTCAAGAGAGCACTTCTCGGCGTCCTGGGCCGACCCCAGCAACTACCTGTCCATGCGCGGTTGGATGAGGGGCGGTCCGATAACCAGAGATGAATTCTTTTGCAACGGGCAGGGGGCCACCGTCCAAAAACCGCCACTCGTGCCGCGACAACCAAGACAACTGCCACCACCACCGAAAGCAAAGGCGCCATCACCCCTGCCCGCTCAGCGCACGTCGACACTCCGCCATAGACGACCAGGCTGCAAAGTATAACAAGAACGGCGGCCTTTGCAAGAGACGCTCCAGCACCATAAAGAGCGACGTCATGGGCATGAGCACAGACGAGCTGCTGGACTTACTAGTGGGGAGCCCAGAGGCCGAGGCCTGCATCCATGACCTCATGAGGAACCAGCACGACAGCTGAGTTCCCCCAGAAGACATCGCGGATATTATCTCGGATATCCAGTCGGCGATCACCTGCGGCACCAGACCTCTCCGAGACCAAGCAAGCCCAGCGCCTATCGACCGAACTGACTCCACTGAAACCCTCCACCACGACGCCGGCGCCGAGGCAGCCCGAACCAACGGAGGAAGCTGACCGCGCCAAGCAGGACATCGACGACTTCGTCATTGGATAGCCGACGCACCAGCACCCGCGCCTGAAGCACCCGCAACGGCTCACAACTGCCGTGCGACACCCATTGACGCGCCAAGCAATGTCCGACCAGCCGGCCCAACCCGCGCGATTACAATTCCCCCGCGCAGTAGCCAGGGACCAGCTGACCCCGTCGCGACGGAGGCGGATCCGCCAAAAAGAGGGACACCAACAGGCGCCACCGCCAAACGACCAGTTATGGAAGGCAGCTCCAGCCAAACCTCCACGGCCGCGCCGCGACAATGCCGGCGCGCCCACCATCGCTGCCCAACTGGCCGACGCCCGGAGGCGCGGCCCGAGGACTAGTCAGTTCAACCCCACATCAGCTGTTCAGCAAGTCCCTAGCAGGCCAGCCCCAGAACCGATTCGGCCAGCGCGCGAGGGCAACGTCCACGCGCCCAACAACCAGACCCGCCGAGGAGGACTACCAGGCACGCGGCCGCCGCGGCCATGTCCACCGTCTACGAGGGGGCCCAGACCCCTTCGAGGAGCCACCCAGGGGCATTCAGGGGAGCCTCTATGTCCGACGTCCAGTGCGACGCGATCGACAGGCTCGCCAACGCCATCAGCAGCATGCGTTACGACTTGAGAAAGAGCGCGTTCTGTGGTCGCTTGGAGGGGGGGGGGGGGGCGGTTTGGAACCGGACCCCCCCCCGTGCTTCCCCTCTCCTCGGGCCGGCGCTGCGCTTGCGTCGGCGGCGGCTGGCGTCGGGGGCGACGATTTCCGTGTCTGGGCCGGCGCCAGCGCCTGCGGCGGCGGGCGGTGGTGGCGGGGAGCGTCGACGAGGACGACGGTGGTGGCGGTGGTGGTGGTGGTGGGTTGTGGTGGTGGTGCTGGTGGCGGTGGTGGTGGTTGTGGTGGTGGTGGTGTGGTGGTTTGTTGTGGTGGTCGTGGTTGTGGCGGTGTGGTGGTGGTGGTGGTGGTGGTGGTGGTGGTGGTTTGGTGGTGATGTGGTGGTGGTTTGTGGTGGTGGTGGTGGTGGGTTGTGGTGGTGGTGGTGGTGGTGGTTTGGTGGCGGTGTGGTGGTGGTTTGTGGTGGTGGTGGTGGGGGGTTGTGGTTGTGGCGGTGGTTTGTGGAGGTGGTGCTGGTGGTGGTGGTGGTGGCGGCGGTGGTGGTGGTGTGGTGGTTTGTGGTGGTGGTGGTGGGTTGTGCTGCTGGTAGTGGTGGTGGTTGTGGCGGTGGTGGTGGTGTGGTAGATTGTGGTGATGGTGGTAGTGGTGGTGGCTTTTTGTGGTGGTGGTGGTCATGGTGAGTTGTGGTGGTGGTGGTTGTGGTGGTGTGGTGGTGGTGTGGTAGATTGTGGTGCTAGTGGTGGTGGGTTTTTGTGGTGGTGGTGGTGGTGATGGTGAGTTGTTGTGGTGGTTGTGGTGGTGGTGGCTGCGGTGGTAGTGGTGGTGGTGTTGGTTGTGTGGTGCCATTGGCGGTGGTTGTGGTGGTGGGTTGAGGCGGCGGTGGTGATGGTAGTAGTAGTGGTGGCGGTGGTGGTAGTGGTGGTAATCGTCGCTGCGCCCCCGCCGTCGCGGCGCCAGCGCCGGCGCTGCTGGCTGCCGCCAGCGCCGGCGCCGAGGGGGGGGGGCTTTGAAACCACCACCCCCCCTTGGGAGGGGGGGGTTGGAACTCCCCCCCACCCCTTTGGCTGCCTCTGGTCATCGTCGCTGCGTCCCCGCCGTGGGCGCTGCTGGCGGCCGCCAGCGCCGGCGCCGGCGCCGAGGGGGGGGGGGGATTGAACCCCCCCCCCCCTTGGGAGGGGGGGGGGGGGGTCGG